GCTCCCAGGCTACAAACCTGTTCAGCATGTTACTCTATTAAATACTGTAGGCAATTTAACACAATGGTATTTGTGTATCTAAACATTTCTAAACATAGAAAAGGTACAATAAAAATGATATAAAGGATAAAAAATGGTACATCTGTAGGGTACTAACCATAAAGGGAGCTTGCAGGACTGGAAGTTGTTCTGGGTGTCAGTGAGTGAGCGGTGAGAGAATGTGAAAGCCTAGGACATCACCGCACACTACTGTAGACTTTATAGACACTGTACACTTAAGCTAAATTTATAAGAAAAATTTTTTGTGCAATAATAAATTAACCTTAGCTTACTGTAAATTTTTTACTTTATAAACTTAAAAATTTTTTCAACTCTTATTTTTTATTTTTATTTTTGGTTTGGTGTTTTTCGTGGCTGGTGGTATACTGGGATAGAAACCTGTGTCCTTGGTGTTATCAAGCTGCTAACTTTTTAACTCTTTTGTAATAACACTTAGCTTAAAAAATACATTTTATAGCTGTACAAAAATATTTTCTTTCTTTATGTCCTTATTCTATAAGCTTTTTTTCTGTTTTTAAGTTTTTTATTTTAATTTTTTTACTTTTTAAACATTTTTGTTAGAAATGACACACACACACACACACACACACACACACACACACACAAAATGCCTAGGCCTACACAGGGTCAGGATCATCAATATCCACCTTCATATCATGTCCCACTGGAAGTTGTTTAGGGGCAATAACACACAGAGTTGTCATCTACTACAAAAACAATGCCTTCTTCTGGAAAATCTCCTGAAGGACCTGCCTGAGGCTGTTTTACGGCTAACTCAAGTACACTCTAAAATAATGATAAAAAGCATAGTATAGTAAGAAGACTTTGTTCCCAACACAAATGATAAATATTTGAGGTGATGAATATGCTAATTACCCTGATTTGATCATTGCACATTGTATACATGTATTGAATTACCACTCTGTACCCCATAAATATGTACAACTATGTAATAGTCACCTGGGTAAAAAATACAATGTTGTGGGCCAAGCCCGTGGCGCACTTGGGAGGGTTCGGCGCTGGGAGCGCGGTAGCGCTCCTGCCGCGGGTTCGGATCCTATTTGATCTTTATAATGTAGTTTGAATGTCAGTTTTTTCCAGTTCTAATCTGATCAAATGCACCAATTTTTTCTGTCGTGCTTTTTGCATCACATATTCCTATCCGTAGATCATGAAGATATCCTAATACATTGCTTTCTCTAAGTTTTAGTTCTGCCGTTCACGTTTAGGTCTTTGATCCACCTGGCTGTGTGCCTTGCGTACGAGGGTACGTCAAGAAGTCCACGGAAAGGTCGCATTATCTTTACTTCTACTCTTCCAG